TGGTTGTAGTCTATAGAATAGATGCAAAAAAAATTAGAAAAGAAGTAGCGCGCATGCGCGAAAAAATAAATATTTTGTGTGTGCAGCGCATGCGCTGCACACGGTCCCACACGGTGCTCAAGCTGTGATGCGCATGCGCTGCACAATGTCGTCAACGTGTTAAGCAATTTTAAAGCAAGATATCCGCCTGCACACGAATTTGAAATTTTTGGTGTACGATATCTGCAGGTTAGTGTAGTGACTCAATGACGTTTTACGAACGGTTGCGGTCATTATCGATTGCCGCCGAGCGTGCGTCTGCTTCATTTTCGTTGTGGTGCGTGTGCCGTGCGGTTCCTCTTTCGTTGTTTTGGTGATTATTTTGGATTTGTTGGCCTGCATCACTGCTTTATTGCCTTCGAGTGTTTGGGTAGTTGTGTAGGAATAGAATCTTTCTCAGTACGTGAAGTAGCGAAATTTGTTTCGAAGCGTTTCGTTTCTTGTTGCTGCACGCTGTTTTTAGGCAATGAGCGCAACAGAAGTTGTGGCTGCACCTGCAGAAGTGGAACTGCCTATGGTTGAGGAGAGCGAAACCAAGAAGGAAGATGCATCACCCGAATCGAAACAAGCAGACGATGACAAGGAACTGGTGAAGGAGGTAACTTCTAATAGTTTCAGCTCTTAGATACACCTAATGGCCTAATTTTAGCCCGAGGATAAGGATAAGAAGAAAGAGAAGAAGTCGCGTCGTGATTCACGTTCCCGTTCTCGCAGTCGTTCGCGATCCAGCTCTCGTTCAAGAAGTCGCAGCGCTAGCAGATCAAGAAGCAGGAGCCGAGGGTAGGTTTTTATGCTCTTGGGAAAAAGAGCGCAAAGATTCCAATGAAAATGAACAAATGAGCAGTCCTGATATTCCACGCACGCTAAGGACAGGCATGATTACGTGACTACTTGAACTTTCCCCTGTGTTCTCTGCCGCGAAAGGCCAGACCACAGCTCGACTCCAAATCCCAAGCCTGGGTGGGAGCTCTAGGACTAAGACACTGTTCACACCTTGCGCCATAGCCGAAAACGCTCGAAACGAACGAATCTGCGCAAATGCGAAATGAATGAAATGCGTATCGATCCACAAAATGGGAGGAGCATCGAATCGCGCATTGGAATCTGCGAATCCTTTTAAAAGAAATGGGTGTCTATCGATCAGTCAATCGGAGATCGCAGCATCGAAACGGCGGTGCGAAAATCCTCCAGCAACGCTAATAGGGCGTGGTTTACTACGTCGATACGCATCTAAACCTTTTCGCATCCGCGTTCGCGCGTGTGGAAATTCTCCTGGTCGATACGTATAAAATTCTTTTCGCGAATTCGAATTTTCGGAAGATTCGAAAACTGTGAACAATGCCTAAGCCATGGAAGGAGAAGGGACTGCAGAGTGGGTGAGCCAATTACAATGTGGCAAAGTTTGAATGTGTCAGATCACAGTAATCATAAGCCGCTGTTTAAGCTAGGCGAGAGCATCAAATCGAGGCGGTTCGAAGGACTGAGTTCAAGTTTTCCGTAGACCCAAAGGCATCGTATTTGTTGGAATCCGTGCCGCATGCTCTACTTCTTCGTGCTTATGATTCCGGGTGGTATTCTCAGCCCTTCTGCCTGCATGACTTACTACTTGAATGCGGGATAATGCCCCGCTATTGTAAAGGGTAACAATTGGAATTAGGTGATTGCAGTATCGGCACGTGTGGGGTTTCTTGTTGTTTCATCTCTTGCCTTTGCACATTCCTATTTTTTGTTTGCGAAGTTCTGCTTTCAAAAGCCGTCAACAACGAACTACTGGATTGCAGTGTTGTTAGAATTGGCTCACTAGGCGGGTAGATGTTCAACCATATAGCGCGTCATATTATTGTGAATTAGTTTGTGCTGTCATGGAAACCTCATTTCAGACGCGAACGTCGTCGCTCCCGTCGCTCGAGGTCTCGCTCTCGCACCTATTCGCCGGTGCCATCGAGTAGTCGTCGTGTTGTTAATGGAAGGATCCATGTATCGGACCTCACCGCCTCAATTTCAAAGAGGGATCTTGAAAAAGCATTTGAGTACGTTTCTTTTCGCCAGATAAGACCTCTGCCGCTTATCTTACGCGTTTTCAGGAAATTTGGAAAAGTCGTTGACATATGGCTTGCCTCTTATCATCCGTTCTATGCGTTTATTACTTACAAAAGAGACGAAGACGCTGAGGAAGCCATCAGAAAAATGAACGATTCGTATGTTTTCGATTATTCTGTGGTACTAATTTTATTGTGTCGCTGATTCCGTAATTGTTTCAGATATATTCGTCGACAGCGCATTCGTGTCGCCCATGCTCTACCCCGCCGTGAAAGGTTCGGCTTTCGTACATTTGGCGGTGCATACAACGGAGGTGGAGGAGGCTACGGTGGCGGCGGTGGTGGATACGGAGGATCATACAACAGGCGGTGGGTTTCTCAACCATACACAACTCGTAGTCAATAGTTCGAGTAATTTCGTAAGCGGCCTTCGAAACTGAATTTCGATGAGCCGAAAGCAGTGCGAGCAAGTAGATGCACAACAAAGTTCAACATTCACAGAAATACAAAAAAAAAACTTGGAAACACAAGCAATCTATTTTCCATGTCCACTGCTGAGATTGGTCACTGAGATGGGACGACTTGTTGTAGGTACATCTTGCTTCTTTCAATAAAGTACCTCACAGATTCTTCATCATTTCATACCACTTGGCTGCTAATCTCAGTGGCAATGTTGAGATTGAATTGAAGCATAACATAGCCAGAGAAATTTTAGTGCATGCCTGCGAATTCAGATGCACGTGATGCTCTATAACATTGTCCTTTTATCTCATCCTGTATGTGTGTATGCATGCTTCTTCAAAGAGCGCTCACAAGCACGACTGGACTGTGCCTTACTTATTTAAAGTTTGAAGTAAGCGCTATTTTTGGATGAGTTCTGTGAACATCTTCCATTAAACGTCATCGCGGCATAGTGTGACTGCCTCATTTTGGAGCAGCCTTATAGGATAGAATTTTGCGTTCAGCGACATCAGGTGAGCGTTTCTGAATGCATTTGTACTCATTTGCTCCACTCCTAATTAGGTAATTCCGCACCTGTCACCAGCTTGCTATGGTTAATTTTGAAGTTGAGTATTGGGCTTGCCGTATTGTGCCATGTCCTTGTGTACACACAATAACATTTTTTGTTTAAACATGCTCGCATTATAATTCTGTAGTTAAGCTAATATTCGAAATGAGTATAAAATTCAGCTCAGCTTCTTTCTTACTCCAATTCTGACTTTAGAAATATGGAGTGATCCGATGGTCTTGTACACCCAACTGACTGCCTGCCTCATGTTTGTGCTGAGGAAGCAAGGATGGTTGTAGCATCACAAAGTATCAGGGACATGTCTTACATTACAACTCAATTTCACGACGCCATCTTTTACGTCAATATTTCAAAAAGTTGTTATTCCAATAGTAGAGCTACCTAGATCAAGGTCCGGTCGAATTTGCAAATTGTCGGGTTCCCTTCTATGTCGGCCCATTGTATGGATGGGCTCCATGAAGAGGTCGTTCTCCAAATGGTGCCGTATCAGCATAGTAACTTATGGCGTCTATGCAGCTCCAACATAATTGCCATGGCATCTGGCAACCTTGCTTATTTCACAATTTTTCGGTTGAGGTCTCATATAGTTAGGAAACGAACAATTTGGGGTTTAGTGGTGAGTGATCACGTTTAGCAAGCTCATATATAACAGTTCCACTTGTAGGTTCATATAGGCCAGAAATTGACCGGATCTTGTCTCTAAGTAGTAGTGCTATGACCATTACACATTTGTACTGAATGTAGCACGTATGCCGTCAAGTAATCCTTTCCCATTCGCCTTTGGCGTTCGCGCCCTTTCATCAGTACAGTCTGGTGTACTTTTTAGCATTGGTCTTGATGTTTTGGATGGTGTTGATGTTGTCTGGGAAATCGGACGTTGCGCGTATGGTCGCGTTGCGTCTTAGAAGCTCATGATGGATTTTGCTGGCGGCGGAGATAGAAGCTGCTTTGATCGGCATTCGATAATGGTTGTTGGTTGATGAAATCACCCACTGTATGGATATTGGTATGGTGTGGTGCAGGAAGTAGATCGCATTTATACGAAGGTATGTTAGTAGGTGACTTGATGTGGCTGGGGTGATGCCACGCACACACATACACACATACACATCAGAACGAGCGCGTAAAACATGGAAAGCATACAAGTTCGGAGAGAGAAAGCAGCTTGCGTGTTGATACTATCTCTGACTTTTGCCTTTTTCAGCCGCAGAAGGAGCATCACAAAGAGTCCGATCCGTACATCGAGGTGAGTTCACTATCACTTTATAGGCCGGTCATCCACCTTGTTCTAATTACTATGTGTTGCAGGAAATCACGTTCGCGCAGTCGCTCGCGCTCGAGATCGCGTGACCGCAAGCGTAGCCGCTCATCATCGCGTTCGTCATCTCGTTCTCGCTAAAAAGTCAACATCCCCCAGCATATATTGTTCATTACTTCACATCATTTCCTTCTGGTAGTGTTACCAAGTTGTGGTTAAAATTAGTTATTTTGTTGTCTGTTCAATCCTATAAATGTGTATTGGTGTGTTTCTGCAGGTGTTGTGAATCGTATTAAGAATTTGGCGTCGTCGCTGTTGAAGTTTTTGTAAGGTTTATATAGTTTTCCTTAAAAGTATTCTGACTCCTCTGGTTGAAGTTTCTTTGTACGTTCACCTGTTACAAGTTAATAAACATTAATGGTGTGTCGTGTAAGTCATAAAATGTGTAGAGCATATTCACCTCTGTAATACGTCCTCGAGAATGACTTAATGAAGTGTACAGTAATCAGGTTTGGGTATGGTAGAAAGTTAAGATGAAAGCTGGTGTTGGCGACTACCATTTGCTGGTGGCTCATAATTTCCTCTCTAATATTTCTCTAGATGGTAGCCATGAGGACACGAAACTACGAATGTTCAATCGTCGTCAGTGTGAACCAGCGGTTGGTTTGTTGTTTGCGTCCTTATTCACTACAAGGATGATTTCTTTCAAGAAATATCGCGGAAATAGGCCTCATTGGAGGGTGGTTCCTTATGGTCGCTCCCAATTGATTTTCAAGGGAATTTTGAGCAATTTGAGTCTGGTTGCAGATGTGATGTGCTAGATACAGCATTGATGCTTTACCCTTTTTTTTATCCCTTTTAGTATGTTTCAAGATGATTGAAAATACGTTCTGCTCAAACTTTGAAGGTCGGAGAAGTTTAAGTGTGCGTATTCAGTGTGATCCCCTTTTCATCGATCAATGAAGAAAGTAGCAAAAGCAATACGAGAGTGATTTTCTGTTTGTTGAACTGCCGAACCTTTGGAAAAGAGTTGGAAAATTCGAGCACAATCAATTGCCATTTGCACCACAGGATCTTTACGAGTGTTTTATGCAGTATAAAAGCTCCAATGGAAATGGGTATAAGGCCCCTGTCCTCCAGACAAAATCTATTTCTTCTCTTCCAGTTGGAATAAAAACTACATGGCTCGACAGGTATTCGAAGCTTTCCAAACATAATTCAGTGATGGAAAAAAATGGAGCAGTATGTCGAGTTTGAGCTGCTAGACCTCTCCCGAGATTTTAGCTTATCCAACCATAATCCTCCCATGAAAACTCCCGTTTTCAAATGGGGAAGGTTTCACTTATAGGGTTCCCTTGCAAAAGCGCCTATAGCGGGTGACGATACGTCAGTGTCAATCGAGTGTGAGGACGACGTGCCCTTACTTGAGCCAGAACATGTGAGTTTTCGTTTCTTCCAAAGAAAAGTGTATCTTCAGTGTATTAGAGTAACTTCTTCAGGTAGATGTTTAAAATGAAGGAAATGATCAGATGAGTACATATAAGCATAATAATAATAACATAATAACAACTTTTGAGGCGAGTGTAACTTTATAGTGTATATTAGCTGCTTTTATTCCAAGGCTACCTTTCTGTGGAGTCCATGCTGTTTCGGCCTCTGCGCTTTGTATCTTCAGTCTCTGAAAAGTGTGAAGATGGTGGTCGTTCTCTGCACCTCAAAAACAGTCTATGGAACTGGAAGAAATTCCCCAGACTAAATGTCCATGTCACTGTATCACTGTCAGAGCATGCTCTCCGCCGTCTGTGCGCGAAGAATACAGGGTCAACCGTCCGTTATTTTATTTCCAAAAATTTGACTACCCACTTTCCAGGTCTCAATGCGACGCGCATCATCGCCGCCATCTGCCTTAGGGAAGTTCCTCGATACGCCCCCTCATTACCCCCTTCACCAACTTCACCACCATGGTTGTTTCTATATTATTTGATTCTGGGACCAGTCCATACAGCACCATTCCGCCCACTTTCTCTTCCCCAACGGCCGTCGACTGTGTGGTTTTTGAGGGTCTATTTCACGCTTGTTTCATAAGTTTTCGCCATCTTCGTCGAATATCCTTTGAACACGACCTCCCCCTCCTCCGCCACCACATCTGAAAATCCGCCACTCTTCAACGTCTGAAAACGATCTCCTTACGCCCTTTTGGCTTTCACCAACCCTAAATATGATCCTTTCTACAGTACTCAAATACGCCCCCCCCCTTCTCGTCTAGAACTACGCATCGCGCGGTTGACCCTAGGATAGATTTCAGCACACAGAAATCATCTTTCTGTCGAGCAAACCGTAGATTTGAGCTGTAGAGGTGAAAAGCACGACCCATCTGGTTTCGGGCAGCAATCCATTTCTCTATACGTGTAAACTTTCACTGCTGCTGCAAGTGATTCTAACTTTTTGGGTAGCGCAATAGCAGAATTTAGTCAATTCGCTTAAATGATAAGGGGGAAGATGGTGTAACAGGTTTCCCAATAAAATGAGCTATAAAATGCAAATACACTCGTTTACATGAATTGCTTTAGAATTTTGAGAGTGTTTCTGGCAAACATCTCATTTTTTAGTTTTTTGCTAGTGCTGCTGGAGGAAGAGGAAGTCCTACCAGTTCATTATTTTCCGGAACTTCAACTCTTAAAAGCAAACCGTTGAAGAAGTAAGTTGACAGTTGCTCTTTCTGTACAGTGCGAGTTATTCCGCTATTGATCAGGCTGTCCATGCTACAACGATTTGTGAGGATGGTCAGCACCGATGACCTTATCTCTGATCGAGAAAGCGCAGTGGAAGAGAAGATAGCTCTGGAATCATTAAGTGGTTGCAAGAGGAAGTCAGAGGCTTCGGATAGTGAGTGATACTACCAATGTTTTGACTGCAAAAGCGCTATATGTGTTGTGTATTTGTGGGTTGATGTAAGGCTCGATTGCCTAGAATGGAGTAGAATATCATGAAGGAAGAAATTGTCAAACAATCGAAGATTTATGTTGGACTGATTTGGAACGACACTGTCATGAGGATAAGTAGGGCCCAGAAGGGTTGAGTTATACCAGTTCTCACATTGCTCAGTTGCAGCGTTAGTAAAAGAGTAAACTTTTTACTCCCTTCTTCCCTCACATCCCACTCGTTTCATTTTTACCATCGAATATTGAGTCAATATATTTCCAATCATTTCCTCTTTAGAGAACTTCGGCGATGATCGACCTATCTCACCGGCTTCGGTCACGCAGTTCACATTTCTCCGACGTCTTAGAACATCCCTCGCTAAGGGTGACAGGTATCGCAGTTACATTTTCACTGTCCTTTTTTGGTTTGCTTTTGGCCTGGTCACATATTATCGTGCTTTCTGTGAGCCTGAGTAACTTTCTTCTTTTTCCTTTCTTTCCTTTTTGATACCGGTTTTGAATGGCGAACAGGTTCATGACGGTGAGACTGCCCGTGTGTTGAAAAGTGTTTTGTGGATTTGTTTTATCGGCTTTCGTGATTGCAGATCCTTTTTCTGTACCTCGTCTGGTGCTCCACTTATTGTCATTTCGCACTTTCCTTTCCAATCTTCAGCACGAGCCCGATCTCGTCTACGTCATTCACGATCCTCGATCGGAAGGTAGTAGATGAAGATCAGTAATATTTCCATTGAACTTTGCACATTATTTCTCACTGGTGGTGATTCTTGATTGACTGAACCTCCATAATTTCAAACAATCCCATAAAATCAGATTTTCTTCAGCACGGAACGTTTGCATCAAAACACAGCAGGGTGTTCCGTGGAAGAGCTCCGTCCATTCGACTTTAAGGAAGTTGAGGTCATGATTTTTTGGGCACCTCTAAAGTCCCCTTTCGATATTCTAGCATATTTTATGCGTGTTGATTGGAATGAAATCTCTTCAGTATGTTCACTTCGAGCAGCTTGGTTGGAAATTGCGTCGCTCGAGTTTGTCAGCTGGTGGAGTGGCGTGGAAAAGTCCGAGCAAAGAGGAAAGAAGGGTCTGTTACGCACCGTTGTGTGTTCTATGAAATTTCGTACTTTTTTTATCTCTGTAAAATTTTCGCCTCAGATACGTTTTTTGGGGTTTGTTATGACATTTTCATGTATATAGTTAATTTTGCTTTATCTTTGGTGAAATCTTTTTCTATTTGAAGGTGAGTGAATATCAGCAGAGTACGACACTCAGTCCACAATCAGTGGGGAATGTTGCTGCAAGGGAGAGCACAGGATCACGTTCGTTTTCAATCCTTTTTCCTATCTCATTATTATTCCTTTTATTCTTGTCTTGACTAGTGCAAACAACATTCTTATAATGTTGAAAATTCCGCAGTTTCTACTACCCACGTGAAACGCTACTAGCAAAACCTGAACAAAATCAACAATTGATGGATAGATGATTAATGAATAGATGACATTCAAAATAATTCCTGTCAATTTCGATCCCTTTTTTTTTCCTTGTTGTTTCGTGATTCCTCGACTACGAAACTCCGTATCTTTTGAGAAAGTGCTTCAAAACGATCGGTTGAACGAATATTGCGATCGTACTTCAATAGGCTTCGAATTCAGCGGAGTTTACGTTTTATCTGCAATTTTGCTTTCACTTATGCTTTACTGGTTCTGCGAGAGTTCCGTGGCAGTCGATTATTTATTCAAGTTACTCAAGCAACATTAGCAATCTTTTTGATAACTGCTGGGTAAGCTCCATATTAAAATAATAATACAGTTGTCAAATAAATAACGAAATGTCTGGAAGATGGCGTGCCCCCAAAAGACGTAGACGTGTCTAGAAATCAGCAAGTTTTCGAAGTCTGCGTTCGAAAAAAAAAAGTTGTGGATCTTTTGTCCAACCTAAATGTACCAATCCATCCAGCAATTCAATGAAACAACAAGGCCGAACTTGTGAAGTTAGGGTCGAAGCGGTGGATATAAATGAACGTGCATATCAGACCCAAAGGCCTCACACACCTGCACTGTAGTGAAGTAGACCTGCGATAGAAAGAAATTAAAGTTGGTAATAAAAGATTAGGCATAAATTAAAGTTTGTAGTAAAAGTTCATCGTCAAAGAGCCCCATTGTTCGAAAACACGCGAAGTCAAGGAATCGGCAGCAGCACTGGTCATTCTGAACTTTTTGGTATATATGCTGACGTGGTTACTGCTACTTCCATTATTTCTTTTTAGGTGGTGATTTGCTTGTTGACGAAGACTCGTATCAGCTCGATGCCGACGGCTTACAAATAAACGACTATGATCCGTCAATGATAGATGACATTTCGTCAGCTACTCGGACCATTATCCGCTGCAGTGGATTCATCGTGAGCACTTTTTTTTATCAGTTTTGGGTTCTGAGTAGTTTTTTCTTCAATTTCTTAAGGGTGTAACGAAAGTGTTTGCACCGCCTCATGTAAACAAGACCACCCTCAATGAAACTTTTGCGGAGAAGTTTCCAAACGTTCATCTTACCTATAGCAAACTGAAAAGGTAATCTTTTTGCGTGATTGGCTCTCATTGTTGGCATTTGTGCAACGTACTGTCCAAACACATATAGTATCAAACGAGACATCTGGCTAATTGCCAAGGAGTGTGACGTAGACGAGTATACGGTGGCACAGACGTTTGTCTACTTCGAAAGGATAGTTGTTAAGGTAATTTCTCAAAACTAATGCTGTCTAATTTTTCAATGTATGGCTTTGTATAAACCTCGGCATTATATATTTCTCTCTTTCTTCTAAATGACTATCTAGTGTTATTCCTCTCGAGCATCAGAAATCGTTTCGGGATCCATCTATTTTTAGGGACTAATATCAAAGTATAATAGGAAGTTGGTAGCTGGAGTAGCTTTGCTCGTAGCTGCGAAGCTCAATGACTACAAAAAACCTGATATTGTAAAAATTCTAGAGGTACGGTACTGTTATTCGCATCAACTTTAGATTCAGCAGTAATATCTCTATTCTCACTATCAGCTGAACTTGGTGACTGTTATTTACAGTGTACAGAGGAGAAGCTGCGGATATCGCGACGCGAAATGCTTTCATTCGAATTGCCTTTATGTTCTGCTCTTCAGTTTGATTTGTTTCCGCCTGCTCACCACGTAGAGCCGCATCTGCGGAAGATTATGTTTGGTGTATTTTAGTCATTTACATGCGTTTTGATTATGGCTTTACCCGGTTCGTTCTAGTCACGTCCATTTTGAGACTAGTCATCAGGTGATCTTCAATATTCAGGTTGTTATCTTCATGTTGACTGTACTGTTAGTTTTGTTTTTTGTCCTGCCTTACTTCACTTTGAATGCGAAAGCAATACAGGCCATTCTCCTAGTTTCAGGGACGCCGATCATTTTTTTCGTTTCATTCTTGCGAGCTTTCACGAATAAGTCGGTTCGTAGAGGCTGCAGTTGTGCTCATATAGGTTTAACGTCTGTAAGACCAATTAGGTAGTTGCTGTGGTCCCATCGATCACAGCAAACTCCCATGACATATTTTTCTCCTAAACTTCAGTTCCTTGGTGAATGTAGCACCTCTCTTATCTTCGACCATCTCGACTTGCGGTAACAAAACAACCACAAACGTCTTCTCCACAGCGTTTATGCTGATCAGCTGCGTCGTAATAGTGTGGATATGGTCGACCGCTATGAGCCATTAAAAAACCTGCTCGCTCGCATGGCTACCCTTTATCTGGTGTTTTGCCAATCATGTTAAGGAGCCAGGAAAGTTAGCACCGCAAAAACACCTTACTAACATGCGTTATTCAACTTCCCAGAATTAACATTCGTTGAGATGTCTGAGTGAATTCCAAAGGCCAGCAGCCAACACTGGACTGGGAAATTATACTGATTAAAACCGATGGATTATTACGAAATTTTATCTTTTTCACGATTCGCTTTATTAGGAAAGAAATGTCTATGAGCTCTCTGAAAATGTTCATCGGACGAAGAAATGCAGCTCATAGTGCCAAAAATGCTTTTCTTCGTATAACTAAGGCATCTGTAGATAAGCTTTGATGCATAATGGTGCCAAAAGCCCTAGCTGTGTTTCCGAAAAGGGAAAGAACAAACTCAACAAAGATCTAATGACCGACGCCCATTTTCGTTTTATAATTCTGTAAGGAATTTGTTCAGCAAATATAGACAGCCGTCTTTAACTCGGCGTCTAAAGGTAAATGCTATGGTGCGCACCTTATTCCAGACGGCCATATTGACCTGTTGACCTTCCCTGGTAAAATCTTTTAGCCGCCTCCGTAGTTTTGCTTTTTGTTATGTTGTCGTAATGATGTGCCCATAGTGGTTACTCAGGTGCATTGTATGCCATATTATAAATGCTACTAGCAGAAAATCAGAACGAGGTGATGTTAGTCATATCGCTACTTTTCATGCTGCCTCAGGATGTATTCTCGTGTACAGTTCATATCCAGTTCATATTACAAATAAGAGACAAATAAAAAGTTCAAGGAATATGCTGTCTTGCGTTTTCGTGTTTGTAAGCTCAAGGTTTAAAAACCACAATTTCACCTACTTCTATTCCACTGTGGATTTTGTTTTACGGTCTTCTTTAAATGTTTATTTCAGAATTATGAGCAATTTCGAGCAATTCTATAATGATGTGAGTTCCCGTATTTATTTTGTACTTCACACTATTACATTTCACGTAATCAAGAAGGACCTAAGTGAAATCACGGCCACAGCAGAAGATGCCCTAGACAGAGCGAAGTGGCGACGACTGACAAAGACAGCGGACCCTGCGACTGCGCGGGACTAACGCTAGGGAGAAGAAGAAGAAGAAGACACTACTACATTTCACCCCTTCTTTTTGGCTATAAATTCCGATATCTGTGCTGGATGCGCCAGAACAGGGTGTGGTCCAGTGTTTGGATCGCATTGTTTCTCGCGGCCTGCTGAGTGCGACCTGGGACTGTATGGTATACTTCTCCATACAGGAGGGGGACCCCTCCCTAGTAAGGTATGCTCCCCTGAAAACTCGGGGAAAAGCCACTCCTAAACCTCCCGGTTCTCGGAGATATCTACCCGATTGTTCGATCGGGTAGATATCTCCGAGAGCCTCGTAATCGACATGCAGGCCGGGAGACTTCCCCGAGAACAGGTGGCGCTGTCCCCGAGATTATCGGGAAAGTGTACCTTACCAGGGAAGGGTCCCTCTCCTGTTCGGGGAAGCATAGTACCTTACGGCCCCTGATATCGGATCACGCTGTAGTCTGTGTTGAAAATACTTCACATTTTTGAAGACTTTCATGCCAGTGTTGAAAAATTGCAAAACTTTGCTATTCTGGTCAGCTTATTGTGAATAGGCTCAGATTAATTCTACCTTGAGTTTAAGTAGTGTCTTACAGATCAAAGCTACGGAAAAGGAAGATTCCACGCTTACATCACAGCAGCAACTGGATCGTCTACTGAGACCGGGTTCAACATATTTGAACTTGAATCCGTTCGAGGTATGATTTTGAAGACATCCGTTGTTTCTTTAATGAGTGTTGCTCATTTAGGTACTACAAATTGAACCAGATTCCGACATAGAGTTAGCGAAGAAGAAATTTAAAAAATTGTCACTACTTATTCACCCCGATAAAAATCCTGATGATCGGGATAGGGCCGACCAGGCATTCGATAGTGAGCATAGCTTTCCTATTTAATTCCTTAGCGGGTATTTTTAAGGCAAGCGTAATGTTATCTGTCATTTAGTTATAAAAAAGGCGATAAAGCAAATTGAGAATCCACTTGAGCTCAATCGTTGTAAAGACTGCTACACAGAGGCTCGTGCTCGTCTAGCCATTGTGGTATGTTGTATTTGCTTTTACTTGCACTACTTTTACACCTACTTCCCTTTGCTGTTTTAGATGTCAGAGAAACGACGGAAGGCTAAAAAGGAGAATGGCACTAACGAAATTGAGGAGGATGACCCAGAGGTATACAAGAAGCAGTTGTGGATAACCGTTACGAAAGTTTTTGCCGATCGCGAAAAGAAGAGAAAAATGCTTGAGGAAAGGGCAAATGAAGAAAAGTGAGCTTTTTCATAAAGTATTCGGTGCCATTCGCAGAAATTATATTTGCATTAGGATGACTGAGCCGCAATAATTCGTTTTTTTTTTCAGAGAAGTAGGCTTTCTATTTTTTTCTCCATCTGTTTCATATTTATTCAGATGAGTGTAACTCCTAATTATTCTTAGCTGATCGAAAAGTGAAGATTATTTTAGACGACGAGCGGCTGAGACGATACAGCAAGCAGCAGAGAAGAGGAAGCTGGCTGAGGAATTTGCTAAAAATTACGAGGTGAGTGAGACGGATCGATTTTGATATCACTTGTGACGAAATTATTGAGCTCAACAATTCAACTCAGGAATCTCGTGATGAGCGCTCAGGCAGCTGGCGTAATTTCCAAGCGAAAAAGGCTAAACGTGAGGAAGGCGGTAAAACAATGCGGGGTGCTGCGTTCCGCCCACCGAAGCCAAAGTTACAAAAATGAAATGATCTCATCGAGCACCTAACAATTTGTTTGGTGTTTACTGTTTTATTGCGATTGTAATTAATAAAAATCAGATGCACTAAAAAGTGTTACTGTTAAGGTTGTGTGTTTATCTTTCCGGTTTCGGACAGTTTGAGTGAGAAATTAGGTACCTTTAAAAATTAGCATCATCAGGTTTTACTGTTATTCGTAGAATTGCCACCATGGCTTTTAGTGGGAATTAGATGATTGTATCTACCGAATATATCTGAGCGTTAAGCCAGCACTCGGAGTGTGTTAATTGATTGGCTTTTTTGCAGCATAATCGTGGTTCGTTGGTAACAATTCTCTGTTACCAGTTTTTTTTTTCGGGAAAAATTCCATTGCATTTTTTAAAAGCTAGCTATTTTATGCAAAAAAGAAAGTGATCGAAACATAAAAAACAGTCCCAGCAGGGTGGGCGTGGTCGGAAACGGCTGCAATCCCCTCGGCCGATTCCCACTTCGGAGCTGTTCAGCCCCTAGTCAAGAACGTAAGAAGTGTGACTGAACAAAAACTCACCTTGGAAAGCCGCTAGGGAGGGAGCTGAAGTGGGCGTGGTCGGAATCGGCCGAGGGGATTGCAGTCGTTTCCGACCACGCCCACCCTGCTGGGATGCAGTCGTTTTCGACCACGCTCACCCTGCTGGGACTGTTGCTTTAATATTAACCCTTCCGGCCCTGGCGGTGGCAATTGCCACCATCAAATTCAAACGCTTGCATTACCGCTGAAACAGCATGTTTTTCTATCCTGCTAGAGGTTGCTTCAGTCAACCTTCCCCTTCCTAATTATGCTTTGAACCGCCATTTTATTGTGTGTTGCTGTTAGTATTACAAATATTTGTGTACAAGTGCACAATGAATCGGCGCTGGTCCCCGCAACCTGCCAGGTAAGTGTCAATCATTTCTAAAATACCTGGCATATGTTCATTTTGGGTCTATTCCAGTTAGGGGGGGGGGCATCATGGTGCGGTGACTCCCAAAAAGCTACGGTAACTCTGAGCCAGGGGGAGTGTAGCCAGCCTAGGGGGGTGGGGGGAGGGCAGTCACTTGACATGCGTGAGAAGCTGGAATGTTCGAGTTTACATTAGCTCGCCGAGAAACTGCATCATGATGCCCCCCTAACTGGAATAGACCCTTCATTTTTTTTATCAAAAACGTTAGATATTATGTTGTGCAAGATCCCAAGTTTTCTCTATATAACTAACAAATCTGAAACAATTTCGACATTTAAGCTAAAAAACTAAGAAGCTGTGCCAATTTTCAAGCTTCCTCGTTTCTTAGTTAACGATCGCATAACTTCCTACTATAATGTTGCTTATGTGTTATTTATGTGCTCTGTGTAATGAACAAGAGCAAAAACAGAAATTTTTCCACGGAAGAAATTCAGGTAGGAAAGGGATAATATAAATATTCTATGATACAGCCAAACATTATCACGAAACGAAGACTCTAGTACTTTTTACCATGTCTGCACATGTTCCCTCGGTAAAACGTGTCGAATAATCGCAGCATACGTCGTCACGTGTGTTGCAGGTCTCTATATAAAATCTGGTTACCACTTAGTGTCTTACACTTGTTAATGATATTTTTATTGACGAAAATCAGGTGGTCATTTCATATTGCACATATAATATAGTGTATTTAAAGCATAATTTACATCGAGAATAGTATCACAAGGCTTCGGCATACTAAATCACAACCTATTCAGAGTGAAAATGCTGTAGTGGAAGTAGTAGAAATTAAGTCCGAGCACAATGCCGGTGGCAGCAACTGACTGTCAAACAATCACGAATGAGAAAAGCACATATTCACTGAGCATACACAGGAAAATGGTTCGATCTACGTCTTTGCTGAAGGGGGGGGGGGGTTCTGTAGTGCAATAGTTTCTGCCGCCTATAGAAATCCCCATCTTTGCAGGTGAAGGGAGATCCGAGCTGCGTGTGACAGCAAAAGCAAATTGGTTCACACACCCGCAACTTGTTCCCCTCCAAAGATTAGGATTACTATGAGCTGTACAAACTATCGCATCGAGCCCCTCACCCCTCTCTCTCAAAGACGTAAAAGCGGTTTTATAAAGTAACTGATCCAGATCATACATACAAGTAGTACTAGATTTAATAGAAGTAGTCTTATTTCATAGTTTTATTTTGTGGCAGCAAATGAAGTCGGAGTGCAGAGAAACAGTGAGGGGAATGATAGAGACGCAGACGTCGCAGCGACACATTCTGTATTTCTTTGCGGTTTTCTGAAGGTTCTCTGCGTCCCTGTCATTTGACTCTGATTTCATATATTTGAGCCTATCCGACTTCATTAGAGCAACTAGGTTTAGTGGATTTTTTGGTAGACGTTGAATTTATATGGCGATGCGAGGGAGATACAATGAACGCGGGTGATCAGAGGGTTCTTCTCCGTAATCGGAGAAGTTATAAATTACCAACAAAATAGGGTGAAAGGTCAAGGGGCCAATCCATAAGAAAGAATTGAGGAGGTACAGTAAATTATATGATCCATTATATGATTCTCTAGATCAGATCGGCTGTGTGTTCATAGATCTCTGATGCGCGCGTAGGCGATGCGGCACGATGGCGCTACAAGGGGAATATGGAAAGTGAAAGGAATGTCGGAGAAGAGAAAGAATAGTTTCACTACTTGAATTCTCGCGACCGCGCGCGTCAATGACCCACAAACTCCACAACCGACTAATTTTGTGGAATGGATCGTAAACACTGTCATAACGAGTCATCTAATCTTCCTCGTACTCGTACAATTGCTTATATAATGGACAGCAGTAGCAGCACCAACACGACAAGGCGATCAATACTGAAAACAGATATTAATTAATACTAATAAAGTTTTTCTATAAAATTTCCAGAGAGTCAAAGATTGCGATTTTGGACCTCTATATTCCGTAGACCAAAGTTCTCCTTGGCACTGGCTAAAGCCCTCGGGGCCACACTTTAAGATCAGAATCAAACTGGTGTTGTTTTCGCACAAGTAAATAAAAGCATTGGTCTGAAAAGGCCCGGTCACAGATGCAAAAAGTACAACACTTGAAAACTGTGAAGCTAATCAGGAAGGTCTTTCAGGGCGTGCCAAGCTTTTTGAAAACGGTCTTTTGCATGATATAGGGGCACATGCGGGAACCACAGAACCATGTTAATTTTTCCTGAACGGCCCTCTGAATACCAAAAAGGGGGTCCCTGTTCGATTCCTCGTGGTGACAATTTTTGCATTTCGTGTTGACGTGGTTACTGACGGTCCTAATTATGAATATGGCATTCATTGTTCATGCTAACTCCATTTTGCGCGAATTTTGAACGTCAACTCGAAATGCAAAAATTTGTCACCACGAGGAATCGAACTAGGGACCCCTTTTCTGGTATTCAGAGGGCCGTTCAGGAAAAATTAAACATGGTTCTGTGGTTCCCGCATGTGCCCCTATATCATGCAAAAGACCGTTTTCAAAAAGCTTGGCACGCCCTGAAAGACCTTCCTGGTCAGGGTCAACCGTCCGTTGGACAAAGTCCAACGAGGGGGGGGGGGGTCGTATTTGGGGGTGGAAAAGAGGGGGTCGTATTTCGCGAGGTAGCGTCAATGTTACAGTAAGGGAAGGGATGATTTTTTAGCGGATTAGGTTGTGGCTGGGATTTTGAGGGCGGAAATAGTGCAAAATTTTTGCCGTTTCGGGTTCGATATACCCCTCCCCCGCTCGACGGCAATTTTGGAGGAAAAAGTGGGCGGAGTTGGGCTGTGTCGACTGGTCTCAGAATCAAATACTATAGAATCGCCCCATGATGGCGATGGCAGGCGAGGGTGGTGGAGGATGGTGGTGAAGGGTTGACCCTGAGGGGGGGGGTCGTATCGAGGCCCTCTAGAAGGGGGAGGGGGTCGTAAAATTTTCGAAATTGGTCCAACGTGACGGTTGACCGTGAAACCAACATAAGAATGAGATGGAAGCAGGGTCAACCGTCCGTTCGAACTGTTCGTCGGAAGGGGGTCGCAATTTCGAGGACTGCCAGCCACAGGCGCGTGCGTGGCGTATCCGAGGGCAAGAATTGCTTGTGCAGACCGCATTAGATTCGATTATTATGCACAGAGAGACAGTTTTAGGCAAATTACGGTGTTTTCCTTGAGGAATAAAGAACAGTTGAATGCATCCCTATGAAAGGTTTGACTTCTCGGGGCTGAAATTAAAGTTCTTCGGGACCTGATTTTCTGAGGACGATTCTTCCAGACAACGGTAAAACATATAAGAAAGCAGAAATCTCGTAGTCTTCAAAAATGTCTTCGCCCCTCCCAACAAGTTCTTTGAAGGAAGTTATTATTGCTGAAAGCTCAAAAACTCGCATGTGCTGCTCAAAAACCTATGGGAACAAAATGTTCGAACGTGTGATTTTCTCGGAAAATGAATTTTGAAAAACGGTTTGGTGCTTGTTAGAAAGAGCAAATCCTGTACTTTCACCCCATGAAAAAAGTGCATCACAGAAATGAAAATGAAGTGAGTTATGGTCGCTGAAAGCCCAAAAACTCGCTTTTGCACGAAAAATGTTCGAACGGGACAATTTTTTGAAAAAGGGGACAATCACTAAACTTTTTATACTATTTTGTTAGAGAAATATTTGAAGTTTCTGAAACTTTTTACAGATTTCCAAAATGTCGCATACGAAAGATTTTATGGGCCTTCAAAGTTGAAGGTGCGCCTTCTTAGAATTTTGGGTTTTCCACTTCTAACAGAAGTACTTTCCGGAGAGTTAGGCAATCCTTGTAGTTTTCTGAAAGCGCACCTCAGGCACAGTCAAAATCTACCTCAACAAGTCAAAAAATACGTCCCAAGAAAGTTATTCCCCTCTAAAATTTTTTCTTCGCCGCGTCCCGTTCTTCCAGCGCCCGGGTGATACCTGCCGCGCTCCAAGGCTGACGCGCAATGCAGACGCTTCTGCGGCGGCACAGACGCTTTCTGGCGCAACGGATTCATGTCTAGCACTCTTATTAACAAAAACAGGGGGTCGCAAAAATCCCGAAAATGTTCGAACGTGACGGTTGACCCTGGATGGAAGTATCCTACTTAATATGGAGGGCTTCACTGTTTAATTGTCTATCTGTCGCGAAATTCCGAAAAAATGGCGGGTAGGCGCAGAGGAGAGGCAGCAGCTTAAGAGATGAGAAAGCGCTAGACAGCAGCGTGCTACGGACGAAAGAAATTAAAGCGGTTGAAGAGGTTCAAATAGTCCTGGCGTCCTTCTTGGGTAGTTAAGAACCGGTAGAACGGAACATCTGGAACGTTTGTTAATAGCTCTAACCTACCCACCAAAAGGAAAACCAAATCCAAACTCATTATGGGTCATGCCTTTGAGCCTGACCATTTCTGAAGGGTCTACGAATGCTTTGAAGCCGCTTTCATCTATTGGGTTGGAGCATAATATCGTAGCGTTTTTCTTTTCGAGCTACGAATTCAGTGAATACAAGTATTACCCAGGAAATCACATATATCATTTGAAAGTACTTCTGCTCTACAATACCATGTTTGGCATTTTCTTCTATACTGTAAGTGTACTCAGATATGGCGCTTAGAAGTTGGAGAATCAAGGTGGGCGAAAATCTATATAGAGAAAAAAGCTGCCAAAATAGGAGTTTTTCGGAATCCATCGTCATCATCGAACCTTACTCCAGTCGACCCTTAATTTCAAATCATATTCACGTCGTACAAATTGAGAATAATGAGGATTCTGAAAACGGGCTCAGTACCCTTTTTTGATTTCTAAACCCGGTAATTTCTTGCGAAATGGAACCAAAGTCGTAAATAATGACGAGAAGAACATCACTGATCAGTTTTATGCTTGGCTTTGCTTTTGGGTTTTGCTTTAAACGTTTTTGCCGAATGCGAGCGCTACGATATTATGCTCCGACCCAATATGATAGTGGTGTTGCCTTATGATGTAGTAATATAATAGTTACAATAAAAACTGTGTTGACAGAGGAAACGTAATGAATCCATCTGAGAAAGCAAAGACGTGGAGAAAATGCTTTCGCCGACGGAGGTCACCCTCACATTTTCAAGGACTCAGTAATTTCCTCACCTGCCAATAAAACAATTGCGGCAATTATAATTGTCACAACGGCACCGGTTGGAATAGCAAATGGACAACATGATGGTTTCCACGACCCCATATATGGCCATGTACAGCACCAGTTGTAGTTATCCCAATCGGTCGGCTGCGGGCAGTATGCCAAATATCCTGAAATGATCGTAAATCGTCCGGTCGTTCACAGAATCTTCCGGCGTTCATTTTTGTAGCTGCAACGAAAAAAATGATTTTTATTGAATTTTGAAAAAGTGATTGCTGCGGTGGTTCCCCTTCTCCTCACTATTTGACATTCCTGAGTCCTGCCAAACTTCACAGGTGTCTGAGGTCCATTTTGAATGTGGAAGCAAATCTGGTGGCCTTCAACACTCAAACTACGGCTTTTTGAAATTGTCTCATACATGTGTTTTGCTTGGTAACTATGCTCCTAGGAACAAGAAATTACAGAAATTTG